CGCCCCCCCCCGCGGCTGCACCCGGTGGCGGCCGGGTAGCAACTATGCAGGGAGGATGGTGGGGCAGGGACCCGGGGCCTCCCTCGCTGTGGAAAGGGGCGTGAGGGGGTGTCAGCCCCTGAGCTGAACCTGGGTGTTTGGCCCCAGGAGCTAGGGTTGCCAGTATTTGAGCTTTCTGTTTGGGAAACAAATTGAGAAAATATAAATATCTGGTGTTTTCTAAATAAGATGTAATGCAGATTGTGATGGAATGCCAAGCATGACCAGTGTTTTTGTTGAAACCATCTGGCAACCCTGCCAGGGTATGGCTCCAGCCTGTTACATAAACAAGAACTGGTGAGAACTTCAGTTTGGGATTAAAGTACAACCAACCCTGAACTTCAGGGCTTTGTCCACACTGGCAGCTTCTTGTGCAAGAACATGCCTGCCGTCTGCATGCACGTGCGTTCTTGCACAAGTAAATTTACAGTATAGCGTTGTAAAACAGGGCTTCTTCCAGAAGAGTTATTCCTCTCCGCATGAGGAATAAGCCCTCTTGCACAAGAGCTCTTCCACAAGAGGGCAATGTAGACAGGCAACATGAAATTCTTGCACAAGAAGCCCCTATAGTTAAAATGGCCATAAGTGCTTTCTTGCATAAGAGAGCATCCACACTGCCATGGATGCTCTTGCACAAAAGCATATCTCTTGCGCAAAAGCACATGTCAGTGTAGACGTGCTCTTGTGGAAGACTTTTTGCGCAAGAACTCTTCCGCAAAACAGTTCTTGCGCAAGAAGCCTGCAGTGTAGGCTTAGCCCACGTGAAAGGCAGCTGGGTATTTGGTTCCTGGAGTGAGGTCATCTGAATGAGGCAGGTGAAACCTCACTAAATGCCAGAGGAAGAGTGAAACCTGCCAAATCCCTAGCCTAGGGGCTTCCCTTTCTACCTGGTCTGCATTAGAGATGTTAAATATTGGTTAATTGAATAGACGATTTACCTAATGAATTCTTATCGGTTAGTAGACTATTCTATAGTCTCCGGGGGTGGAGCTGGCAGCCAGTGTGCTCCAGCCCCACTCCTAGGGAGCCCCCTGCCACCTCACGCTGCTGCCTCTCTATCAGAGGCAGCTGCCTAGGCATCTGGTCTACAAGGGGAGCCAGTTTAAAACCAGCTGATAGAGACGCAGCAATATGGGGTAACAGGGGGCTCCCGGGGAGTGGGGCCATCTTGAGCAAGGTTGCCTGCCTGCTAAAAAAATGTACTAGCAAGGGTAAGGGAGAAATGTGTGTAATCTAGAGGATTAACCTATAAGATTTTGCTTATTGGTTAATCAACTACGCTATTACATCCCTAGTCTGCATGGGGTTGCTCTCACTAGACTTTGTGCCTTGAGTTAATAGATGATCAGTTAACTTAAGACACCTAATGCCTGTAAAGAGGCTAATCTGGATCCTGCCCACACCTTCTTCATAGTAGGCTTCAGATGTGTGCAATGTAAGGCTCAGTCTAGGACCACCCAGACGTCTGGTAGATACAAACCCTGTGATGTTTTCTGGGTCCAGAGTAAACACATTGTTCATTGAGCGACCCTCAATCTTATTTGGACACTAGGCAAAACCTTCCTTTAATACAGAATTATTAAATTATTTTTGTTTTTTATAGTGTTTATCACCAGAGTAATGCAGTACTATACATACATTAATAGATTTATTTTCACAACACCAGTGAAGTAAGGTGATATTATCATATCACTTTTACAGATGGGCACCCAAAATACAGAGAAATTAAAGTCTGAAGATCTGTTAATGTTGGGTGCCCATCTGTAAAAGTGATATAATATCACCTTACTTCACAGATGTTGTGAAAATAAATCTATTAATGTCTGTATAGTACTGCATTACTCTGGCTTGATTTTCAGAGTACTTAATGCTTAAATTGTACTTACAATGTGAAGAACAAAGTTCACATTTTGATTTCAGTTGTCAATGTTAGTTCTCAGGATATTTTGGTTAAAACACTAGAATAGTTTAAAACTACCTGGTGTAAAACCAGCAGACCACAGTCGTCTGTGGGTAAAATCGAACCTTAGACTTCTGCAGCTGAGTGCATGCGCCTCTGCCGCATGAGCTAAAAGCGAGCTGTTTAAGATTGTAGAGCAGACTTGGTATGACTAGATGGGACTGTGTATGACATCTGGAAAGTGTGGGTTAAAATGGCACGCAATGAGTTGATTTAAAAAAACTATTAATTGTTAGGTTTCCAGACATAATTCTTACTGGAGAATCTTCATTGGGTAGGTATGGTTCTTGGCCTTTCACTAATTAACATTTTTATCAAGACTGAAATATGCTGTATGTGAGATACTTCATGGGAGACATCATTGGAAAATATAATCTACTGAACATGGTTATTCCATTTGTATGCATACCTGTATTTGATGTTACAAATATGAAAAAATATGAAGTATAAACATATGTAACTAATGTAGTCATGCTAAGTGAGGGCTATTAGTAATACTCAAGGAACTTAATGACCCAGTACTCAGGATAATGATCTGTGAATGGACTTGTTGTTCTTGTAAACTGGGGAAGAGGGGCTATAGTGGCTCCCACCAAAACAAGTGGCCATGTCATCTCATGCCATGGTTCATCTTGGAATACAGTATTTTTCCACAAAAGCAGAGGGAAAATTTAGTCTCAACACAAAGGATTCCCACCTTATGCAAAAGCTCTTTAAATGTGGGGAGTAAGTTAATCTAGATCATGGGTAGAAATGGTGTCACTAGCCTCTGTTTGTCTGGAAATGGATGACAGGAGTGGGATCACATGATGATTCCTTGTTTCTGTTCTCTCCCACTGGAACATCTGGTATTGGCCACTGTTGGAAGGATACTGGGCTAGATGGACCTTTGGTTTGACCCAGTATGGCTTTTCTTATGTTCTTATGTCAGTTCTCCCTGGCTGTCCCACCCAAGATGACAGCTGGAAACATCCAAAACTGAACTGAAAGAAGTGTTGGGCCCAGCCTGGAAGGCTTTCTAGTCTGTGAAAGAAGCTTATTAGAACAACTTTAAGGGTGAGAGATATTACATGTAACTAGTTTCTTAGTATATTAAGCTTAGCTTATGTGTTCTGTTTTGTTTAGTAACCGACTTTGTTCTGTGTGCTATCTCTTATTGACCACTTTAATCCTACCTTTTATACTTCATCTAATACAGTCACTTTTGTTTATTAATAAACCCAGTGTAAATAATTGTTACCT